GAAAACCCGGTAATTACATTCTGAGAAAATCTCACGGAATCAGTAATAAGACACCCAAACAAAAGAAGATAATCCACATAATTTGGCCCAGGTGGGATTCGAACTCGGATTACTGGAGTGGTGGAAGGCGAGGGAAGTACTTCGGGACAATGATGAATCCCCACATTCTCACCCTCGCATAACCATATTGGAGCCACATGGCTTGAAGTTGGGTCATTCAAAACCATCCAACAATTTGGAAGCAAGATTTTGTACCGTTGGATATATGCACGGCAGCCAAAGTCGAACTGAATTCAAAATCCAAATACTTGGTTTGGAACAAAATCAACAGTCCATGCGTTATGTTTACAGATCTCACCCTAACTGTATAGGACACACGAATGAATACGCAAATGAATTGAAATTATTCCATTAGAGTAATTCCATTAAAGGGCCCCATGCAATGTAATTATTTTAATGCACTTCTTAAAAACGTCCCGTCGTGTCCCATTTAACCTGATTTTCAATTTTCGTTTTGCCATTTTCAAGGGTATTTTGGTGCTTTTTGGTTTTTATGCTAATGCAATTTTCCATATTCATGAGCAAAAGTGTGATGTCACTTCAGGCAGAAACATCAATGTCACAGCTATTTCAGCACCAAAAGTTGCTAGAATGTTGGACATTTTGCTGCCGTCATTTTTTTGGGGTGATTCGTCGTTGGGTCAGTACATGACAGTAAGCCAATGAGCATTTTTTTCCTCACAAAATGTTTTCAATGAGTACATTTTTGGGTTCACAATTTAAACAGAAAACTCCTAAACTGAACACTTTCTGACTTAATAGGACGGAAGTGTCAACGGGGAAATACGCGCACGGATTTCGGTGGGAATAAAGACGAATTATGAACGACGAATTGCGAAATGCTCGTTTCCGCACGATATATTTTTGACAGATCGCGATCGCGCGTGATCTGAAGTTCCGTATAAAGACGTGAAACGGAAACGCATGCGCGCGCGATGTCGTACGACGAAAAGGAATCGTACGACCATCATGCGGAGAACGGATGTTGGGTTGACTGTTGAATATGGTCCGATGAAAAAGCAGGATTTGTTTGCACAAATTGAATTAAATAACTTACTTTAAAAAGTGCACAGATTCCCACGTTCAAATGCCTGATAATCTCAGGGTCGCGAAGTTACCCCCACCATGACGTAGCCGCGCTCACAAGATAGTTATTTCAATTATGCATGCCATCCTCAAATTTAGTCCAAACATTTTCATTTTAGTGTGAAGACACAAAAGACCGGACGTATCATACACGACAACGAGATAGCAGCGGGGAACTAACTGCCGCCTTCGGCCTTGGGGCCTTTTGTAAATACAAAGTTACACTTTACAAATCTTTCCGCTTCCTTGGGAAAAAAATAATCCTTCATCTTTTTTATCCTCAGAATACGCCTCTAATCATGATTCCAATATACAGTGAAAGAAGACCCACTGCTATACACTGAAAAAAATAATAAATAGTTCGTAATTTTACATCAAAAATTATGGCAGCAGCGTCCCCAGACACTTTGCTGTTTTTTTTTAAGATATTCATCAAGGGTGTAACATGATTTTACAGAAGTGTTGTAAAATGATTTGACACTTTAAGATATATTTCATTGGTGCATCAAATTGGATTGCTTTTAAGAAAAGAAAAAAATCCAAGTCACTTTCTTTATGACTCACCCTGTATAGGTCCATGGTGTAATACTATGCATGGCTTTGCCTAAAAAGTGTCAATACTTTCTATGGCATGCAGTGGTCCTATAGTTTATGGGACAGACGAGTCCCTCAGTAGGCCCATGGTCCAGTACCACGGCATTGGTTTATAGGTGCTACAACTACAACGTTCTATTGCTCTGTCCATACTGTTACATGATCCAGGAGTTTAATAATATAAGCCTACGGGATTGTGTTATAGGTGTTATGCTTTACTACGCCGTGGCTCTATCCGTCAAAGTATAGGATCCAAGATGTTATGTTATGGTCCCTCTCATTGTCCTTGGTATAGTCCATGGTGTGGGACCATGGAATTGTTCTTAATATAAGTGCATCTATACCATGCGATAAAGATGATTGTATAGTATCAAAATTTGGAGTAATTTGTGCAGTCTATGTTAGATTTGCCTTTTTATTGTGTCACTAGTTCAGTTCAACAAAATAAATAAACCGAAAAGGAGCTACAATTATGGTCCCCTCCATGCACACATGCAGGAAGGGGGCCAACATCAGAGAACCTCCGCAGAGATGTAAGTTAATATTGTCTGGTCACGCATCACGCGTCTTATTTGATGCTAAAAACACTTTATAATAGCAAGGACGTCAGCAAACAATACATCGATATTTCTTGAATAACGATTTTATAATAGAACCATTGAAACTGGTTTTTATGTGCATTTGCTCTTCCAAGAAGCGTGACTAGCCGTTTATGTAAAGATCGGATAATATACGCTAGGATGAATAGGCATTCGATTTCTGCGAACTAGGGCTATATTTAACCCTCCCGCTGTCTGAAATCCGTATGTCTGAGCCTATACGGTACCCATGATGAGGCATATACAGTTGAACACGTCATAATTTTACAGGCAAGAAGTTGAAAAGATTTTTATTTATTAAGGTGTAACAGCTCTTTGCAAAAGTCCGTCTGCGTCACTTGACATTTCAACAAGAACAACAATTCCGCGAATTTAACCAATTTCACTTGATTTGTTTGGACGTCATTCTTTCCCCCTAGCTGTCTTTGCTGGATTTGCATTTTTGCTCCGATCTCGACTTCGTTTTGTTTCTTTGAAGCATACTCCAAGTCCACATGTTTAGAAAACAGGGGGGGGGGGGTGAGCTCGAACACAAGTCGGTTCAATTTACGTGTTACATGCCGAAAAAAGTATCTTACATGTTTTGAAATTGCAAAAGAAAATCTAGCAATGCACAAGTTGTTCACTTTTGAATGAAATTTCGAGCGAGAAAAAACAGTTCACGTTTAGCTATGGGATAAATACTTTGAAAATTTGAAATAACTTGCGGCCCGACAATAATTCGTATCTCGCAGGGTAGATTGGTTTCCGCCACTTATTAGAATCGATAATAGAGATCGAAAACCAGCCTACTCCAGGTCGGATCCGTTTCCGCGCGAACAAACAACGACCCAAAATAACAGTTTTTTCAGATGGCAGACGCTGAAAAAAAGGGGGAAAATGCCATTTTTTCCCCTCGTTAAAATAAACATAGAAGTTGAAAAGTTGTCGGGGGGCGGGGGGGGGGGGAAAATAAAATTTTGAAGAATACAGACGGTACCGGTACATCTTTAACGTGGATTCAAACCCACGACATCTTGCTTACAGTGCAGATGACATAATCCCTCGAAAAAAAAAAAGGTCGGCGAACTGATTTGAATTAACGAAATGTTTTTAAAAAATTAGTTAGTCAGGGAAACATATAAGTTTTCATTTTTGAGAGTATTCACAATATAGGGATCTGTAGCTTTCTGGAAACGGGGGGAGGATTGAGGGTTCCGAGGATAGCCCCATCAGAAAAATATTAAAATTTACAATGCTTTCGCCTGCATTCTAAGGTAATTTGAGAATATTTTACTAGGCATCGTAACATCAGTCAGCGGCTGAAGGGGGGGGGGGGGGGGGGGGGGGGTGCGAACCCCCCCCCCCCCCCCCCCCCCCCCCCCCGATCCGCTACTGATAATATACATGTTACAATTAACTGACTGATCGATTTATCGATTGATCAGTCTGTATAGCACGCAATGAGGAACTTCCAAAAAAAAATAATAAATAAATTTTGTTCCGGGTTTGGGAATTTTTTTTGAGCGAGATTTAGGCAACGCCCATGCCGTTCTGTCACGGCGTGAGCACGGGGGTAGCGGAGTGGATAACCCCAAGTCACGCGAGGGTGCCGGGACGTCAAACACGTGTCTTCAACGTCCTTTTTGTTCAATTTTTATTTGATAATTGAAATTCCGACTTCCTTTTAAGTCAAGGTCGACTCGTACGTTTCTAATCAGCGAAACAATGACGGGTGTTTTATCCTATGCATCAACGATTGCTTTTCAAAGCCACCATTATTTTTTCACAAATAACCCTCATGACATAATTCACAATGATTTTTTTTTAAGAATACATTAACCTTTTTTTTTTTTGCTGTTTTTCTCTGATTTTTTCCCCGCAGGGAAAATCCTGGGGGAAAACAGAACAATAAGGTATTGTTACGATTCAAAAGATGATGCCTGAAGGTCCGTGTATGGCGTAATTTAAAATGTCACCTATAAAATTGTTTTGTTCTCCAAAACATATAAATATTCGTCCGAAAATCTACCAGAAGACATTCTGGTCTTGTTCGCACAACTAATCAGTTAATCTGCAGCATCAGAAGAATAATATCTGGCCGAGACGAAACCAACTTTTCCAGAGAATTACAACTTTGTGATACGCAGACATGAAAATGGTAAGTTGGCCCCTTATTTATTTTAATCTAAACAGCATAGTAGCTAAATAATTAATTTGAAAGTCAACTGTGAGTTGTATATAAATACTGAGTAAATTCTAAATCGATTCGGGTTTCTCATGTACTAATTAGGCATGATATTTTCTTCTTTAATTTCACATTAAGTTGGAAACTTGACAATCCTATATTGGAATATTGAGCATCATCTTTACAGAGCCAACTTGATTTTGATACACAAATCTAAGTCAGAAATTAACGCAAATAACATTAATTGTATCCATTGATGTACTATACGTAATTCAAATGATACAAGAAAATTCAAGTTTGGAGATGTTTAGCTTACTCAAAGCGGAGAACATGCAATTAAAATTGCCGCAAGCCTACATCGGTGTCTGTATAATCAGTCCGTCGCTCGAAATAACTTATGATGTTTTGATGTTAAAACATAATCCATAATGTCTACCTGCATATTAAGAATGAGTGTCTCACCAATCATTGTTTGTTCTCCCCGTGTAGATGATGATACCAACCCTTCTAGTTAGCTTACTGATCGCCAGTGGCACCATGGCCAACCCCATCGGTGGTGACCCACCAGCAGCCTGCCCGTCTGCACCCCTGACTCTCTTCGGTCCGGACTCCCTCCCTCCGGACCGTGAGACTCACCAGGAATCCAACGAGACCTGCCCGGTAGGAGACCTTGTGCAGGACCACTGGCCCAAGAGCCGATCCGCAACGTGCCCGTGGCAGTACGTGAACGACTACAACCCGAACCGCTTCCCGGCGTCCATCTCCCAGGCCGTATGCAGCTGCGCACGGCAGGGCTGCCTGGATCCGTACACCTCCGAGCCCCGCCCGGACTTGCAGTGCAGCCCCGTCAGTTACACAGTACCCGTGCTGCGTCGGGGTGATTGCGTGGACGGAGTCAGCGACATCTACCAAGACTTTGAAAGCGTGAGTGTAGCGTGCGCTTGTATGCGTCCGGTGATGCCTCCGGTGATGCCAATCGACGAACGCCCCCCAGGTATCATCGGATAATTAGTTAAACCGGGTTAGGGATTGCTAAACCAAGCTCAAACTAAGTCAATCACTAATTTAACTGAGTTGGTACACCTTTTGCCGGTTATCGGTTTAGATCTCTAAACAAACATGTTGTTTTATTGGATGGGAGCCTTATACGCATTATTTTGACAATGCCAAATTAGTTGGAAATGCAATGATAAACTATTTTACTGAAGTTAGGAAGTAGTCTCTTCCCCTTCGTTTAATGTTTGGGTGTCTTACTCTCACTAATGTTATCTTTAACACAGTGACATTTCGAAAGTAGCCAGGACCTACAGATTGCAGTGTAGTATTTTTGTAGATGTTGAACTCAGAACACGCCTTAAATGGATGAGCTTAATATACAATGGGTTTATTCACAAATCGGCCATATTAAATTGAGAGCGAGGTAAAATTTTGATTTTTGGAACTTGCGGAAAAAAAAAGAAAACAATGAAATACATTTTATTACAACTTAATGCCAGTCTGCTCTAACAAAATAATTAAAAATTGTGATTAAACATACCCTGATGTTTTTAGCCACATTAAAAAAAAATGAAAGTAAGGCTAGAATGTATAAATAGTCTGGCACCATCCCATTCAACAGTTCACAATTTATGAAATACATTCAGGGAACACGACCAAAAATGACTTCCTCGTGAATTAAGTCCATAGAAATTTAGATTTCTGCAAAGTAAACGATATTTTGTGTACAAGTTTAAATTAGCGGAATTCTTTGTTTAGCAAGCAAAACAATAGATTTGCTGTATCGTGGCGTAAAAACCTTTTTGAAAATGGTTCGGTAAGGCATTGAACCTAATTGAACGTTTTGAACCCCAATTTTGTAATTCACTATGTGAAACAATATTTAAATTAGATTCCATGAATCTAATTTATTCGAAATGTATTTTGAATTCATACAATATGCGTGATTAGATGTTGAAATTTATTTCCGTATATATAGAGTTGAATACATGTATTATGTTGATTTATTATGCATCAATATTCTCCAACCTGATTGACTTTTATTTGCCAAGAATATCGGTTGAAAAGTGTGAAAAAAGCAGCTTTATTTTCCAATATTTATACCCAGAGTTAAATTATCTAAAATATTTATATAAAAGGTTTTTAAATATTTATTTTTTTTACAGTTAATATAACACGGCAATAGTATTTAATATCTTATAATATTATATTTATTCAGAATTGATATTTTATTCCTTATTTATGTACTCAGACTTGAATTTATGGAGAATAATATTAATATTTATCACATATTTATTTTCGTAGTATTTATGAATAAAAGGTATTAAGAAGGTGCAATGATGTTTTCCACGTGTCTGCTGTTTAGCGCCTATTTGTAGATATACACGTTTAAAATAATTCAAAGTATTTATGGGGAAAAAACTTCCACCGATTTTACAACATGTAAAATTTGGAAGTTTAAAATGGCTTCAAGTTTCGTCAAGAAAAATACATAAATTAAAATATGAAAATAACTTAAACTGCTTAAACTGCTCACCGACTGGATTGACCTGAAATCTGAAATATACAAATGAAACAAATAAAAGTAGCCTAAAATTTCATCCTTAGCATGGACTTCTTCAGAGGCAAAGTAAAATAATATAATTACTGATAAGTGACACGTAATATGTTGAAAACATGTGGACGGAATAAAACGGACTGCAAAAAACAGTAACAGAAGTGATTTTTATCTATGGGGCACCGGTTTCAGAAAAATTAAAAAAAATAAAAAAAACCTGAAAATGAGATGTCGGCTCCTGTGTATTCTCCTTTACTATGATCTCAGGTATAGGCTTAACTATAAGCCCGTTGGTCAGGGGTAGCAATTATCTAAGTGCACTTTTCTGAGGGGCGACAATTCTGTTCACATGGCCTCAAACGAGGAAACACATCAAACCACTTCCGGGTTAAGCCCATCGCTGCATCGGCGGTTCCTATTCAAGGCAGCCCTGTTTATCCAGGGACTAGCCGTGGTGGCTGACGTCACAATGACGTCATACTGACGTCAGTCGCATCCCGGAAGCATTTTTTGACCCCCATGTGGGTGTAACCCTTAACTCGGCTGATTGGGTTGGCAACAACAACAATGACCTGACATCTTCCTGAATATTTATGCGCATCAATCGGTCGGGGACGCCCCCCCCCCCACACTTTTTAAAGTGGGGATATCATATCGTTTGTCCCCCACCCCCCCCCCCCACCCCACTTTGTTCTTCCACGAATAAAAACCGTAGCCTACATTTTAATTATATAAAGCTCAGAATGGCTGATTCAATGACTCCAGACTCAAAAATGATATTTAAATGATGATCTTTTGCTCAAAGAAAAATAATGGTTTTAAAAGAGGTCAGAAATTGTGTCAGATCGCACCACAGAGCGTCTTGAATCAATTTTTCCCGGGGCCCTTCAGCGGGCCCAACAGCCCACGCCGTAAGGGCTTCGCACTTCGTGCTCGCATTTTAGTTCTGATCAAGGTATGTCCCCACTTTTGAGAATCGATTGACGCCCTTGTGTGAATTGGTTATCAGTGTGCTGTCTAAAGAGAAAGTAGAAAAGGTACAAGAAAATATCAACCCCAGTGAATATTTTTTTTTAAAGTAAACAAAATACTAACTGATGAACACACGCCAAACAATTGACCGCAAAATAACGACGCCACGCGGCTGTACCGATGTTTCACGCAAAAAAAACTGAATTCCCTATTAATACGTAAAAGTCTGGTTATTTAAAAGAACAACAATGATCAAGTTGTCGCGAGGAAAAGCCACCGGCGACTAGGTTAAGCTGCATTACTAATCTAATCCCTCTGCTAGTCTAAATCTATTGCTACGTCATGATTCCCACGGCTTGATCAAACAGTGGTTGACAAAAAAAAAGCAAATAGAACTTTAAACCACATATTTTTCAACGATCGTGAATGCACTGTTGAAACTTAAACACCTGCCAAATACGACATAAAGATGACTCCCTCTCAAAATACTGAGGGTGTTAACGTGCCATTTTTGGTGATCATTTATGCAACTAATATGACAGACAATATGGCACCAATGTGACTGGCAACACAAAATGGCGCGTGATGTTTACAAACAAAACGAAAGATGTATAAGTCTCGAGTACTTGATGACGGCGTGTACACAACATTATCAGATCATAGTTGTAGTCAAGTGACAGCTCCGTGAACATGATTCAGAGGTGTTTTCCGACCTTGGTATGATATCCTGGAGCGCACAAGTTGACGCAGGCGGGTTCCCCTCGCCTGACTTATGAGTCAGAAAAGTCAGTATGAACGAAACTGTTATGATAGATCAAGGTCCGTAACGCAGGGTCAACAGGGCAAAGCAAACCAAGGGAAAAACAACACACGCCACGGACTTGCAAATGTAAAATGATAAAAACTGGCACAAGTACGAACGTATCAATGTGAAGTACGCCCGACCCAGTGTTTAAAGGGAGCCACCCCAGAAAATGTCACAAGTTGTCGGCACAAACTTCTGAGCAGAGTATCATTCATTCATTCATTCATTAGTTTTACTGCAGTAGAGAAAATAAGAGTTTTTCTCCCTTCGATACGAGGTTTAGCAGGACGATTTTGATGTCGTCAGAAAATTCTTGCGTTCGATGGCTGCTTGGCAGAACTTGTTTAGGGTCAAGCTCATCTGTGACAGAACTTACTGCTGTCAAGTCCGACAACCCAATTTGTCTCACAAACGCCAATGAATAGGCACTTTTTGTCATACGGTCGATTAATTTCAGGTTTTGGGATTAATTTTTAAAATAATAATAATAATAGGCCTAATAATGCGGAAAATTACACCTCTTATAGACAAATACTTTATCTCCGCATTTGGTATACACTTATCTTCTGAATTGAAGTCTAAAATCTCTTTAGTAAACATCTTCCTTCGTTTTGTGTTGAAGTACTAAACACTGTTCAATGAACCCGGGCTTTGGGTGGATTCGAAACTGTATACGACATTGACGGCTCCGTGACATGGTATTTCCGCCTTTGTTAAGTCTTTCGATCCGTGTTTTTTTGTCTGTTCTTTAGGTGATGTAAACTAACGTATACCATGGAGGTAGGTTTATACCCACCTCTCCTTTTATTTATGTAGGAAATATCAAAGGTTATATCTGTCTTTATAACACCCGATGGTATTTGTGGAAACAATTATCGTATTGATACAAAGTTTACATAGTATTCGTTTTAAGGAGCGTCTACCCTGGAATGGCCTATGGGGTTTATAGTGGAAGGTCATGATGACATCATTATATGGGCGTTGAAATTGCATACGGCTGGCCAGACAACAAAACCAGCCATTTTTACATCAATGACAGAAGAAACTTTTCTATTTTCCCCGGTTCGGCTTCTCTCTAAATTCCAAAGAGTGGAACTAGGGACCAGACACTTTAGAGTGGAAATCACTCGAGCGAATCTCGAGTGAAAACTCGATATATTCAAATGACAATTATCATGTTGCAGCCATCTAAAAAAAATTCTGATTCAAATCAACGTAATCAAAACGAGGCTGGAAAGAAATTAGTCTGGTTCCCTTTTACAAAGAAAAGAATATCATTCAGTACTGTTATTTAATAGGCTACATGACTGAAATTTCGAACACTTTCAATATAGAAAACGTTCAACAACGACTGAAACCAGGCGCATAGACGTTTTAAAGTGAATTTCATTCAATATATCATATATTCAATATTATCATGCTCCCTAGTCGTAGCCAGCGGGGTGGGGGAGGGGTTAAGGGGCGTATTTATCCCCCCCCCCCCCAATATTTTGTAAAGACTGCCCTTTTCCATTCAAATGCCTTTTTTCCACAAGCTCTTAACCCCCCCCCCCCAAATAATTTGTACAAAGTGCCTTTTTATCGCAAATAAGTCAAATCTTGAGCAAATTTCCAGGATTCTCCAGACATATACTTGGGGAATTCTCGTTCTTACCTTTCGGCGACGCAGGGGAATTGCCCTTCCTATTTCTCCATTTAAAAAAAATGACACAATAAGAAATGATGCGGCGAATTGGGGTCCTTCCAACCGGGCAAGTCGAATTCCAAGGGATGTCGAAATATGTTTGACCGAGTTTAACCAGACTTCCTATTGACGTCAGAACTGAAGAAGGAAACAGCCACTTGTGGCATGAGGAACAAGTCTAGTCTTTGTCAAGTTTCTCTACAGCTTCATTCAAACAGAGGGCGTTGCCATTTCCGTAAAAGCCAAAATAAACAATAACTTTCAGTGGAAGTTTTTTTTTTACCATGGGAAAGTTTAATTATAGCACCTGTTTTATTTTTGGTAGCCACAAAGACACAGAATGAGACGGGATTGTACCTACTTTTTGCTCCATGAGACTTTTGAAAAGAACTTTCCCATTTACCCAGGGACCGATCAGCATGGACCCCTGGACCTGACGTC